CCTCTCTGGGGTGGATAATTTAATTCCTAACAAAGGCGACAGTAACACCACAGCCAACTCTCTCCCAGCACTTGACGAGGGCTGGGGAGCATAACGCCTCGTGGCTACCCAGGGGCCCCGTGAGGGGCTCCCATGATTGTCCCTGTTTTGAGTGCTAAGAGCCTGGGCGCGGGTCCTGCGTTCAAGTCTCTTCTCTACTGTGTCTGGCTGGGCAAGCGACTCTGTGCCTCAGGGTCCTCGTTTGTACAGGAGGAAGATAAAAGCTGTGCTTTCATCAGGTTGCTGTGCAGAATAGGTGAGTGTGCCTAGCATGCAGTAAACCCGTTGCCATTGAGTCGATTCTGACTCATGGCGACCCCATGTGATACAGAGTAGAACTGCTCCATAGAGCTTTCTTGGCTTTTCTTCCACGGCACTGCTGAGTGGTTTCGAAGCACTTTTAGGTTAGTAGCCAAGCACGTACCATTTGCCCCACCCAGGAACTTCTTGGCATACAGAAAACACTCATTAAATGTTTATTATGATTATTACAAATTAGGAAACTGACACAAGACGGCCATGTGCCTGAGAGGGGGGCAGCCACGTTTAGATTCCCATCGGGAGACTCCAAAACCCTTAGTGCCAGTCATAGGGCCAGCACACATTGAGCACCTGCTGTATGCCAAGGCCTGGGCTCAGCACCCACACATTTCCCCTTTGCTGCCTTCAGCAGCCCTGGCATGTGGGCACCATCCCTGTGTCCCTCCACCCTGCAGTAGTGAGGGTTCAGGGAGGGCGGTTGCAAGCCTAGGTCACCAGCCTGGGGTGTGGGGTGCCCAGAAGGGTGGCAGGGGGCTCACCGGAAGCGCTGTGTCTGGTGGTGCAGGGGGCCTGCGTAGCGCCGGGCAGACGACTGGTAGAGGTGAGTGAGCAGGGCCTGCCCTGTCTTCTGACTTGGGTTGTTGGCAAACTTGACTGTGATGGGTTCGGCTGCGCCCAGTGGCTTCTGTCCGTTCAGTCCTTTGATGGCCTCCTCGGCCTCAATCCTCTTGTCAAAGCGGATGAACCCCACACCCCGAGACACGCCTGCCAGATGTGAGGGGGCAGTGAGGACCCTGCCCTCTCCCGTGTGACACTCTCACCCACTTCTTGCCCTGGCCTTTGAGGTTTCTCCATTTGGGTCCTGCCTCTGCCCCTTGCCCCCTTGAGGTCCCTCCTGGCAGCCTGACCTGTGACCTGGTCCACCAGGATGCGCGAGGTGATGATGCGGCCGTATTGGGAGAAGAGCTGCTCCATCTCCTTCTGGCTCATGGTCTTGGGGAGCCCGCTGACGTACAGGTTGGCGTCCCGGATGGACGCAGAACTGGGTCTGGCGTAGGACACCTGGCAAGGAGAGTGGGGTGGACAGGGGTGAAGGGAAGGCTCATTTCATAGATGAAGAGAGTGAGGCCACGTCCAAACCACTGCCGAGTCACAGAGATGATTTGTCCATCCACACGATAAATACTTCTTGACTGTTCACCAGGGGGGCCATGGCTGTGGCAGCAACAACATGCTCTGCCTGCTCTGAGTGTATTCCCACTGGGGTCATACCTCCCCAGAGGCCTCAGGCCCTTTGCACCCCCAGCTCACACCCTCCAGCTCCACAGTCCACTAACAGCCATGTTTTGACTCCTTTGGAAAATGGGCCAGGCCCGTGGGCCCCTCCGCCTTCAGGCCTACACTCCGCCTCTTGGGGACAGGCGTGCAGACTCAGGACTTTACTCCCAAATGTCAGTGCTCAGTGTGGGCCTCGTCCCCGAGCTGCACACTCATGTGACGCCTGCCTCCCAGTGCCCCGCATGGGGTCTCCATGGCCACGTCCTACTCCTGCCTGCCCCCAACCGGCTGACTCAGCTGTGACTGCACCATCCTCCTGGTGCTCAGTTTCCCAGCCTTGAGGCTGTGCTTGACTTTCTTTCACGCCATGTCCCAGCCACCATTAAATCTAATCCGCTCCACCTTCCTCGTCATGCAGAATTTGGCACTTCTCCCCACTCCCAAGACCCCCATCCTGGTCCGACCATCTTCCGCCTGGACCAGTGCAGGTGCCTCCATTCTGGTCCCCTGGCTCCTGCCCTTGCGCCCCATGGTCTGTCCCCTCTGTCAGAGGGCACCTGTGAGCACCTGAGTCAGGGCATGTCCCTCCTCTGCTCAGAACCCTCCATGGCTCCCACCTCACTCAGAGCAAAAGCCCAAGTCTCCCCACAGGCCCCCGAGGCCCTGCACCATCTGTCTGTCACCTCCGTGCCCTCATCTCCACCCTCTATCCCCCTCGCTCACTTGGCTCCAGCCACCAAGCACCCCAGGCAGGGTCCCACCTCAAGGTCTTTGCACTGGCTGTTCCCTCTGCCTGGGATTCTCTTCCTCCATTTTTCGCTTCAGCTTTTGGTCCTCCCGGCCTCTCCTGTCTGAATGTGCGCCCCCTCCCCTTACTCTCTCTCAAAGCACTTCTCTCCATTGTGAATTAATACACGCTTTGGTGCAATCATTTGATTCCTGTCGTTTGCAAGGGTCCAGCCCAACAATGAAACTCTCTGCAGCTGTTTAAAAAATGGTGGACGTGTATATTTATCTCCCGGAAACAGTGGTGAGTATTGTGAAGGGAGGGAAAGAAAAGTCCCTTTACAAAGCAGCGCGTATGTGTGACCCCATCTCATTATGTGTTTATAAATGTCCTAGAAAATGGCTGCAGGGACCCGCCCCCAAATGCCAATGGAGTGACCCTTAGCTGGGGGGCCGTGAGCTCCCCTCCCCCCTTTTGGGCCAATGTCTATTTTCTGTTGTTTTGTTTTTTTTTAATTAACCTCTAGGCTGTCAGGGGTCATCGTCAACGATGCAGCTTTTGTTCCGGGCGAGGAGTTGTGAAGGTGTGTTACTTCGTTAGAAATAACTAATTAAAAAACTAACCAAGTGAAGAAGGCAGGCTGGGCGTGGATGGGGCTGAGGGCGCTCATGGGTGAGGGGTTATGATTGATAGGATGGTGTACACCTGGGGTCCTTCAGAAAAGAGACA